TCCCTTGAAAACTATACCCCCAACTCTCAGCACAGGTTGATGCCGGGACTCTGGGGGTGTTGGTTGTGGAGGGGATGACCCCGTGCGCCAGTGCTGAACACTTTAGCTGAAGTCATTGCTGGCGAACCTCTTGGAGAATTCATGGCGCTCAGGAAAGGTCCCAGGAGACTGCAAGAGGGCCACTGTTGTACCCATCTTCAAGAAGGGGAGGAGAGGGGACCCAGGGAACTACAGGCCAATCAGCCTGAATTCAATCCCAGGAAAAACCCTCCAAAAATGTCTCAAGGAGTCCATGTATGATACGCTAGTAGAAGGCAATCCTGAAGGAGAGCCCGCACAGCTTTGTTGTGGGTTGGTCGTGTCCGATTAACCTCATCTCCTTCTACAACAGGTTACTCGGGTAAGGACCAGGAGGTTGGCATCATTTCCTTGGACTTTAGGAAGGGCTTTGCCTTGGTGTCCCATGGGGCTGTCACGGTAACTCTAGGGGACTATGGGCTCAACGATTCAACTGTGAGATGGGTTTAAAGCAACACTGCAGCGGCTGCCTCTTCCCCTGAAGCAGTGGCTCACTGGTTTTAGACTCGAGGCCCCCCTTGGCGAAGGCCAGCTCTTAGCTCTCCCTCATCTTTCCCGTGCAGATAAAGAACAAGACAGGTCTCTAGGTTGCAAAGAGCACAGAGAAACCCGGGGCAGAAGGGTCTGACAGCCCGCGCTCCTTTTGAAGCGTCTGTGAACCGTGTCGGTGTTTACACACAACGGTGCTATTATGCAGCACCCTTAAAAGGATGTGGAGGCACCCCAGGGCGCTGCAGCATCACAGCTAGAACAGAACCAGCGTCTCCTGTGCCACTAGCCCCGGTGACTAAATCCATGTTGCTTCACCCACGTTTGCGTGTACGCTGCACACTGACTTTCAATATTTTGCTATATGAAACCGGGTGTTATCTATCTGCCTCTTGCTTCCAGCAATGCAGAGCTCGGCCAGGGGGCTAAGGAGAACATTACGTCTCCATGCGATTGCACCGTGTCGTGTTTTTAGTGCGTCTCAGGATATCAGAAGTCCCACGTGCATTAATAGCTGGTTGGCCTGAAATTAAACTGGCACCAGTTGAAATGAAAGTGCTCAGTCAACTCGTTGCCCTGGGGTTGGAGCTGCATTGGTGACCGTTGTTTCACACCCAGCGAGAGGGGCAATGATTACAGGGATCGAGACCCCATCGTGCTGGGTGCTTCCACCTCTGCCGCACTGGAGACATGCAGCAGCGTGGAGGAGACGAGGACACCGACTGCTCTTACCGTGCAAGCTGGGAAGTGCATCCGATAGCTCCAGGAATGCAAAAAGCAAAGCCCGTCCCCTCCCCACAAAGGAACGGACGCGGGAACGCTCCTCCAGGCAGCATGCCCGTGGCTCTCCCTTTTCTGCAGCTGAGCGCCAGGGGCCCAGCCAGCCTCCACCACTCGCAGCACAAAGACAGCAGAAGGGGCAGCAGGAACAGGTCTTTTTTTTTTTTTTTTTGGCTTTACTTTTTATTTCTCCTGTGGACAAAAAGGTTCTAGTTTATACCCGTAGCACGTGAGAAGCAGCGCACAGAATCAATCAGTGTGAGTTTCATGAAATACAAGTCCCAATTCTCTCCACTGCAAACATTTCTGCTCGGTTTCTACGGGAATGGCCGTCCTGTGGAGATCTCTTTTCGCATCAGAAGCTTCAGGAAAAGATTTTAAGGAACAAAAAAAAAAAAAAAAAAAAAAAAAAAAAGGGGAAAAAAAAAAAAAAAAAAAAAAAATCACAAGCGTCGCTATAAAATGTTACCTTTGGGCTGTAACAAATTGGGCATCTGATTGAAGAGCTTCAAAGCCCCCGCTTAATAGATGACACGAGAGAGGGAAGCTACCCGTTGGAAGGCTTTCCACCGCTTCCCCACTTATCGCTTCTGTCTGATCACCGTGAAACTTCAGTGGGAAGAGTCACCAGAAACCATCAGAAGCGCCGTATTCTGCTGAGCTGGCGCAGGGCTGCGTGGCGCCGAGATCGCAGCATGGAGCAGTCCAGAACTGGCCGAGGAGAAAGCGCGCAAGACGCCTGGTCCTTATGCTAGCCCAGAGGTAGAGGCCCTTCGTCCAGGCATCCACAGGCAGGCAGACAGGCAGAGAAGCTGGCTGCTTGCGCTCCAGGTTGCGAAGCGCTTGGCCTTGCAGAGGGGAGGCAGCGGGAAGCCGAAGTGCTCGGTCTGCAACGGGGGTGCACGTTCCAGCGGCAGGCCCCCACGTCTGTGCCGCCCCCAGGGAAAAACCGGAGATGGCTACAAGGATGGCCTACGCGGTCAGTGCACGCCCACGGCTCCCACCCCGCCGGAGGCACTTCCACAGCCTTCGGCACCACGTGGAGCAAGGACCGACAACAAGCACCTTGTCTCTGCATCAGCAGGACGGAGAGGGGAAACGCCCAACCGAAGGAACCCTGCCAAGTGCTGCCGAGGGTCGGACGTGTAGCTCCCGCCACGCCGAGGCACAGGCACCCTTCTACAGCAAACCCGGGGGAGGAGGTACTCCCGGCCTCTGGCCGCGGGGCCAGCGCAGCGCTCCCTTCGTTCCCCTGCTGAGCGCGGCGCGTTCAGGCACACCCCTTCAGCATCGGGAAGGGGGGGCCGGAAGGGACCTCGCGAGGTCAACTCATCCAGCCCCCTGCTCAGCGCAGGATCGCCTCTGATTAAACCATCAGAGCCTTGCTGGGCTCAGTTGGAGTCAGTCTATCTGCCGAGCTGTCTCTAAAGCAAAAGTGGAATGAATCAAAGTATTTTAAAAGCGTCAAGCCCTCGAGGCAGGAGAGTTTGCTAGAAGGACAGAAAGCTGTTCGCCACAGGCCGATGCAGAAATGAAGAGGGGGTTTTGTTTTTTGTGTGTTCACAGAAAAATACGAACGTGACTCCTGGAATAGAGGGGGTCACGTTGTAGTGGCTTGTAAGAGCAAAATGGTGTTTTTTGAGCAGGCTAATGCAACGTCCTACCTGGATGTACGTGCCCTGGGAATATTTTTGCTTCAGTCCTGATGCTGCAGGCCCAAGTCGGCAGTGCTGGGGGCAGTTACCAGGGCAGAACAAGACTCACAGAGCATCCTCCACGGCTTACCGTAACATTAGCATAACTGCCGGCATCGTAATCGCTTTCTGCCAAGAGCCGCAACGCGGGGCTGCGGCGATTCTTTCGGGAGGAGAGCAGAAGGAACGTTAGTTTTAAATAACAGTCTGGGTTCGTAGGTGTAGCAGGCTAATGCAGAGAGGAGATACCAATATTTTATTTAGTAAAAAGGCTTGTATCCAGGTCGCAGACACCTCACAGTAACTAACTTAGCAGGGCATGGTAAAGTCATAGCACAGCCCTAGATCGATCTGGGGGAGGGGAAGACAACAGGGAGAAGAGAAGGAAGCAGCTTCAGACTCAAACCTTGGCTTCCAAGATAATGTATTCAGAAAAATATTGCATGAAAAGCCTCAGGGTTTTAGTTCTTTCATAGATGTATATTTACCAGTTTTCACAAAGACTTCAGGAATACGATTATAAACAATAAATTAGGACTTCATGTTGCTATCATTTGGCATAACACAATCAGGCAATTTTTCCTTTTTAAATATAAGGCAACACAAGCCAACACATAATTTAATCCGTCTTTAGTCAAATTGCTTAACTTTGCTAAAGAGTTATCACTAAAGAACGGTTATAGTACACTTAAAAGAATTTAAATAATGACAGGGTATAAGTGTACTGCCTTACGCAAGGAGTCAGAAAACGTACTCTGCTAAGCTTTGAAACCTAAATATTTGTTACAGCCCAGAACTACACGTCTAAATTAAAAAAATACAAAGAAACGTTTTCTAATTTTCCCATTTACGAAAAACTTTAAGAATCTCTAGCCAACTAGGACGTCACTTCAAAACTTGTAGGTTTGTTTTTTGTTTTTTAAATTTTGTATGATGTCTTAAGATTTTAAACCATGCTCATTAAGGACAGTTCAAGGAGCAAATACTTAAGGCTTTGTTTTTCAAAGGGCTGTGAGGGGAGGCCAGTGAATGGCAGAGGCCAGTGGGTTCACTCATACACAATGCTACTCAAACCCACACTACCAGGCGACATTCATACAGAAATATTACACTTAAAAGTTACAGTGTAGAGCAATATTTTTAGCCAGTGTACATATAAAGAATCGATGCATTTACTTTTCTTTTTTAAATTCCAAACTTGATTGTGATCATTACATTCAAGTATTAGTCTCGTTGCAGATGAGACGCTTTCTACGCACAACAAACCGAACTAGTAAAAAAACAGAAGGGGTTTTCGATGCGCGGAAGAGACCGAGACACGGCGGTTACCCAAGGGTTAGTGTTCTACCGGTCACCAACGCCGCTACGCTGTCAGTGGCGTGGGGAGAGAAGAGAAGAGGAGTAGTTAGGCACCAAGACTCTGGGGAAAAGGTACTTTCTAAATAGCTTCGTAGCACTTCCCAGAGAAAACCTCTCCTGTGGCGCGGTAACGTATGCCCCACCACGTCTCGAGACTGGAGCGTCACTTCGCAGCAGATACCTGCCCCTGCACGGGTCCTGCCGCTGGAATGTGAGTGCCCCGCCGCCCCGCGCACCCTTCCATTGCACCGGAGACGGACCTCCTGTGATGCCTCCCCACCCTGAAACTAATCCTATGCACTAGGGGAGAAGCTGAACCCTTTTTGGGGTGGTCAGCGGGTCTGGATCCCTGGGATAAAACCTCACTACAGCACTTTGCATCAGGACATCCAGACTCCTAGCAGCGAGGGGTTCAGACGTAGTTAGCTTTCCAAAGAGGGAGGGGGAAGGGAATCAGATGGAGGAGGCAGCAGCCACCAATGCAGCTGGGTAGCCTACATCCTAAAACGGCCAACCCTCTCATACCCTGTCCTCAACAAAGCGTTCAGAAAAAAAAAAATCAGTAAGGGACTTTGACTTTGGACAAAGTCTAAAGGATAAATGCAGAACTCTGCAAGCGCCAGCAAAAAGAGCTTCAGCCTATGTTAATGCCTAAATAGATAACCCTAGCTGGATCCTTTCAAAAGCAGGCTTCCTTTTCAATTAAACAGGCCTCTAGACAGTGCAAATGGTCAATGTTTAATGCATTTAATGAAATGGACTTCAGGGCTGAAAACAAGCCCTGCTTCCTGACAAATTCTCTTGCTCTTAATCGTCAGAGGAAATTGAAATGGAAATGTAAGCAGCTATTGCTACCTGGCTCTTTAAAGAGCCGGCTAACAGATGCAGCTGTGAACCCTGCCGCAACAACGCGAGGCCAGCAAATAGTTACCAAGCAGAAGGCAAAGGCTGTGCAGAGGGGACTCTGTGGCGGAGGAACAGCCGTGGCATGCAACAGCGTGAGCCAGCTCTTTGAAACAAAAGGCATGTGAAGTACCGGACGCAAAAGGAGACAGGCAATGGGGAGGCAAAGCTTTTAAAGATACAGTATGTTTTGTTTCAATGGTTACTATAATGATCACACAAGTTTGCAAGTTAAAAATGCCTTGCTTATTAATTAAAATTAAGACTAAACCTATAATTTTGTCTGTGAAAGTGACTGCAGCCTATCTATACCCTGGGTGCTGAATATGAAGATTTCGACTATCGGTTGGTTCAGGCGCTCGGTTCATGGGAGGCCGATGGACTTTTCCCAGCACGGCCATGCTCTGATCTCTGAAGCAAGACTGCTGGAAGTCCCCGCTTAGGTAATCCATGGTCTGCATCACGTTACTCTGGCTGGATGAGCCAGCTCCAGCTCGATAGTGAGTTCCTGCTGCACAATCTAGCGGCGCGCCTGCTGGCTGTCCTCCGTGAAAAGGCATGGCAAGGTCTTGCGACCCAGAGCTGTCACTGTTCGGTGTGGGCAGAATGTTATTCCATATGGGCTGGAAATAGTGCCCATTCGTATATGGCAAGGGGCCCTGCAACCCGTTCACAGGCGGGGAAGGTGTAGGCTTCTCGAGGGGAGGCTTTAAGTTGAAAGACTGGCCCATGCACAGTTCTTGAGGGTAGCTGGATGTCTTACCAGGGAATCCTGGCCCTGCGAGCTCTCTCTGAGGGTGCTTCCCGGCCAGTCCAGCAGGCCCAGCCGCGTCACCGCACATTTGCTGCAGATGGGCGAGCTGGTGCTGGTTCCAGGCAGCCGCTTTGATTTCGCTCTGGTACGCGGCCGGCACTCTGTTAACGTTCACCATGGGCACATTAACGGAGGCGGAGGGCAGAGCAGCAGCGTGGTCGACAGGGTTAACTACACAGGAAGGCATGGGCGTGGGGACGTTGTGAGTTGATACCCTGGTACTTGCATTGATAAGCAGGTTGCGACTTATGGGGCTGGGGTTTGCAATCTGTCCCTCACAGACTGAGGTAGTGCTAATGCCAGCTCTGGCCTGGCAGAACTGGTTGATCTGGTGCACGATGCTGCTCAGGTCCGGCGGCTGGCTCTGCTGCAGAGTGGCAGCCATGGAGAGGGGGATGGTTGAGGTAGACACGGTCACATTCGGCGGCGCGTCTGCATCCGGCATCTTTCTGCTTCCATGTAAACCTGGCTGCAGCAGCGGGTTCGCGGGGTGCTGCAGCGCCTGGTGTGCCAGGCTCGGGGGGTGCTGCAAGCCCTGGGCCGGCGGCATGCTCTGAGGGTGTGGCAAAGCCTGCGGCTGCGGGATGCCCTGAGGGTGCTGCGGGATGCTCTGGGGGTGCGGCAGAGTCTGTGCATGCTGAAGAGCCTGCTGGCGCGCGAGCGCCTGGGGGTGGCTTAAAGTGCTAGGTGCAACGTACGGCGTGGAAGGGGGGTTCATCATGGCGTCCGGCAGCAGGCGCGTGCGGGTCCCGTCAAAGTCCTTGAGGATGCCCTTTGCGGGAGATTTCACGATCGCCAGCAGGCCGGTTTTGGTGGTGGCCTGAGGCGGGTAAGGACTGTACCTCTGGCCTGAAGTATCGAGTCCGTTCACAGTACGGCGTACGTGTTTCCTCTGGGGAACCTTGACGCTGTTGGGAAATATTTTTATAGTCAGTGGGTTGTTGGCGACCTTCTTAGCATAAGCATCCAATTCTGCTGGGGTAGGATACTGTGCAGATCTCATTTTCTGTGTAGTGTCCCCTGCGGAGAGAGAGACAACCCATCAGTGCCGACCCTCGCTAGAGAGCCCCACCGCACCGTGAAAAGCCCCCCAGAACCAGGCGGCCAGAGCAGGATCTGCCCCGAAATGACGGCCAAAGAACGGGAACTTCCTTCCCTTCGCTGCTGGGCTACCGACGCAGCCCCGCTGGCCAACCTTGGGCAAGACCTGCCTAGGGCAGCAGGGCCGTGCCTAACGGCGCCTTGTTCAAAACTGGCTTGTGCCAAGCCGTGAAGGGCAGCGAACAAAACGAACGCAGGGTGATAAGTACCTGGGCCGGTCCCCACCTTGGAGGACTTCCTAGGCCAGCTAAGGGGGGTGGGAGAAGGGAAGCCAGGAGCAGGTCTGCAGCAGCTGCATTTAGATCTGCCTCTTCCCGCGCGGCCACGGCCGCCCTCAGAAGCCCGAGCTTTGTGTTCAGGAAAGAGGGAGCAGATTTTAGAGAGGCACAACCCCCACGCAGGCCCCCAGGAGCCATTTCGGCAGAAGCTTCCCAGCCTTTAACTTCAGCTTCGTTCTAACCCAGCGGCATTTGAACGCAGCTCTTAAAGGGTCGCTCTCCCTTCCCGGCGGGAAGCACCGACTGCCGAGCTCAGCCCGGTGAGAGCGTCTCATCTCCATTCTGCTCGGGTGCACCCGCCGTGCACCCTCACCAGCTGCGAGGCTCAGTCGGGGCGGTGGCCAAACAAAGGATGGAAGGAGGCTGGCGATCACCTTCCCCGATCAGAGGCCCATTCCTTCACCAAGTACAGGCAAAGCATGCCCAGAGCCACCCTGCCATCACCTTGCTGCTCGAGCTCAGGCAGGGGCCTATTGCACCACGTCAGGAGCAGCAAGGGGAGCACGCGTGTCTCACTAGGCAGCTGAACTCAACCACTTCCCCTCCACAGCTATGTGCTGGCTACCTCCCACGAGCCACTGTTGTAAGAGGGATTTTATAAGCTTCCAGCTTCAGACTCCTCCTTTGCTTGATTTTTCCTCCTGCACTTTGTCTGCCAGAAGAGGCATCTCCCCTCCAGCTAACACAGCACAGTGCTTGGCACCCCCACGACTCCTACGGCTTCCCTGCTGCGCTCCCAAGGCAGGGTGCTGCGGCTGATGTCCCTGGAAGCGGCACACTCGGCCCTCGCTGGCCCAGGCCAGGCCGGGACATCCCTCATTCTAGGCCTCCAAGAAACACTTGCCTTAAAAGAAGGTATCTACCAAGAGCAGGTAAAGCCTCAGCAGTACGGTCCGGTTCCTGCTCAAGAACCTGTGGCCCAGCCTCCACAACTGCAGAGAAGTCACAGCTCCCACGAGTAAGCTACAGGAAGAAGTCAAGGGCAATGCAAGGGAAAGGGGGAAAGACACCAAAAAGAAATGCAGTAAAAGCACGCGGAGGGTGGCTTTCCAAGCAAAAGCACCCTCTCTCTCTAGCACGGCACGTATGCAGCCAGCGCCAGAGTCAAGGAGCCTCTCACCATGGTGTCCAAGCGCTGCATCCCTACTGAGTAGAGGAAGTGCTCGTTTGATGAGGTATTAACCCGAAGACCCTTTATTCTCATCCCTGCTCCCACCCTGCCAGCCAGGTGCGTTTCCTCCTGGACCGAGCCGGGGGCTGCTAATGGTCAGGGAGCCTGAATTCGGCTCAGGGATGCTGCCGTGCCTGGCCACCCGGGGCCAGCAGCTTTCTAGCCCGCCGTTCCTTTTCCGCAGCAAGCTCCCACCACCCCGACGCTCTCTGCCTGTTCCCCCAAGAGAGCACCCCTGGAAACAAGGGGCAGTGCTGATGAACAGCAGCTACGGGCCACACTGAAGGGAGTTCAGACCTCGGTGGATCAAGGTCCACGTCCAGCAGCTCCCATTTAACACTCCAGGACGTCCTTCTCTTTATTTGCTCACGTCTTGCTTTTCTAACATCAAACTAGACAGCAAATGTCGCCAGTGCCTAAGTATGCCATGCACTTTATCACCTAGATAAGACCACCTTCCCAGCAGCCAGGGTCCTGGGGTTGCATTTTGATACAAAGCATTGCAATTCCCATCAGGAAGCAATTCAAATACTCACAAAGGATGCGAGTCAAAACATGACTGAACGGGGCGAATCTATCAGCTATGGCACATCTGTAATGGTGAACTTGAAAGGGTTCCTTACGTCAAATCCAAGGTCACCTTTAGGGGTTAACACAAGCCCTCCATCCAAGTTAAAATATGCGCCAGGTCCCATCTTAAATGGATTAACAAAGCACCTTTCAGACCCCTCTCTGAAATTACCCCTCTCCCTTTCTATAGAAATGCCCCCCACCTTTTCTTGGCGATTCTTGTCTCCAAATGAGACGCCCCTTTTGTCCTGAAACAGCTCAATCGCTCACGGGCTCTGTCAGGAGAACATCCCCCCCCACCCCGAGGCTCTTGCACCTTAGTGCAAGGCAGCCTTACGTTTCACCAGTGCTTCCACCAGACTCAGTCACTTCATCAGTCTGAACAGTAACACAGAAAACCCGGTATCAAACCTAAAGGTGATGCCAGAGGAATTTCCAGGTGACCAGAGAGCCTGAAGAGTCAGTGCAAGGGTCCCAAGACGGCAATGCAACAGCCTCGAGGATTAAGTAGGGCAGAAAAACGATGCCTTAGTTCAGCAGACTGTGCCAAGAAGAAAACATTAAGGATGGATTTACACAAGATGTGCATTTGCGTCTGACATCCCCATCGCTTGCGACCAGTGCTGGAACTCGACGCCGGGCCATACAACGATTAGATGTACATTTTCCCATAGCAGATACCCTCTCGTTAGCAGCGGCACGTTTCTCTGCTTCATTGCAGCGCTGATGTTACATCTTTTCTTAAGTGCATTTCGCAGTAGGACTTTAAAAACCCCAGCTTTGTAAGCTACTTATGGTTAAATTTTCATTAAAAGTCATTAAAGTATAACAGGCCTTAAGGATCGTTACAATAATCAGAGCATTTTGGTTCAGACAAACAAGGAAAAGCTACACCAATCCCTAGGTAAAGCTCTCAGCCGCAGCAATTTCTCTGCAGGTTTAATGAAAGAGTTCTCCAGCCTTGGGCAGGAGTTAATTTTTGCCCGTGGATTTGTCTTTTAGCCCAGCAACACACACACCACATTTGGTCTTTACTGTGGCTTCACCACTATTGTATCAAACCCTAAGGCCCTCGCATGCCTGGCTTGCACCCAGAGTAGATAAGAAAACTGCCCAAATATTTCGAGTCTTCGGCAGAACCATCAAGTGGCGGAGGCAAGGGAGGGAGCAACACAGATAAAGACCGATGGTCGCGCTCATATGCAGCTAAGGACATGGCAGGCGCTCTCTCCTTACCCTTGAAATGGCAGGGGGCTGAACATCAGGCCTTTTCCTCAAAGTCTGTGAAACACATCTTTATCGAAGTAAAAATATTAACAAGTCGCTTCCAGAAACCTGTTCTTCCAAAGAGCATCCTTGGAAAAAATCCCTCTGCTTGAAGCTGAGCAGGGAAGAAGATAACCAATGCACGTGGAGCTTTAAGTAGAACACGGATCCAGAAAGCTACTCCTGACATGGAGGGGGGGCGCGTTATTTTAATACAGGTTATCAGGTACAGCAATGTGGCTTCTATAAAAAGCACAGCACTATTTCAAACTCTCCGCTGCAGCCACCCTCAAAATAAAGGAGTCACAAGTAGGTGTTCATTAGAAACACTCATTAACCCAGCTTTCCTTTGGCCAGGGGCTAAAGTGCTTATGCATACACTGTATGTCGAGAAATGCACCCAATTAATCTTACGCGTATCTGCAGGAGGAGGGGGCGAGGTCTCTAGGAGCAGTTTGATTTTCAATGTAAATCAGTGAGCTGGACCTGCTAAGAGTTTCCACCAGCAAGTGCCTTGCCAGTCACTTTGTGCCCCAAATTCGTTTAACACCCAGGCCCTAAGCGCCTGGCTCAACGAGATACGGCACGCCTTCCATCCGGGGTTTAGCAGTGCCTGGAACCAGCCAGCAGCGTCAGGCTCAGAGCTGCTGCTACATTAAGCAAGCTACCCTGCCCAACACAGACCCAGTGCAGCACAGAAGCCACGTACCTCATCTCGACACAACCAAGATAGAGGATTCGACTGACCAAGAAGCTTTCCCTCGCTCTAACACGACTGCCAGGTAAGGAAAGCTCTCTAGGCTTCTTTTGCAAGAAGCTGCCATACAGGTGCTGCCCTCTGAGCAATTAGCTGTACACGTATTTTGGCCGGCACTACCAGGACTAGAAAGTCACTGAAGCGAGGAAAGGGAGAACACCAGTCGCTTTTAGCTACTTTTGTGCCACACGTGGACACCCCTTTCCGGACACTTTCTCTTGTTGCAATTGCCACGGCAGTCACAGCGCACGCTGGAGGCATGTTCGGACAAATGCTGCTTAAGTACTGAAATGCAAAGTGCACTTGTGCTCCAGGAACGTGCTTTCTTCTGGCAGCTGCAGAGCCTCGAGACTACTTCTTTCCCTCCCAACATTTCATGCTAGATTAGAGGAGCACGTCATGAACCCTAACAGGTCAACGGCTGGATTATAACTGGAGCGTACGTTGCTTGATTTTGAAAGGCGATAACAAGTCCAACCATGGTTAACTGAAAGCACAGGGTTTTCCTTACATTTAAGTAAAAGACACTTTGGACAAGATAAAGTTAGCTTCTCCGTGGAGATCAAGCCTGGGCTGCACTTTGGGCTTCCTGAACAACTTCCTATTTGCTATCCCACGTGCAGAATCAGATGCACGACCTGAGCAGTCTCTGGAGGATGGCGAACGGAGAAGATGGGGTAGCTTGAAACATCTCTTTAATAACCAAACACCTATTCCCAAATCCAAGGTCTACCTGAAATACCACAGGAATGAACGAGAGACTGAAAGTGCAGGTGGCTATCACCGCACCTCCCATACGTCAAAGTATTTTCAGAAACTTAGAGGAGACAGAAGGAAGCGACAGCAAGACTGATCACTAGAAATTGTGGCTGTATACATTACAAACGCTTGCTATAGGTGATGCACCTTATAGCAACAGAGCGAACCTCACCAGATCTCCATTAAGTGCAGCCTAACTTCCACTGGCGTCTGCTTTTCTATTTAATTTAGTGAAAATGAATTGAACATGCATTCAGAGTCGGGTCAACACACGCTTTTGCTGCAAAACGCTTTTAGCAGAGAGACAGGAATGTAAATGGCAGACTGTTTTGCATGCTGCCTCGCTACGGTTAAAATTAACCTCTCTCTCTCTCTCTAAAGTAAGGCGTGGGGAGGCAGGGGGAGGGAGCTTGCTGCTAATGCTCAAACTTTAGTAGCTCTCCTTCCCACAGCCATTATCGATGGGTGCCTGGCAGGCATGACAACACATAAAGACTCTAATATTAAACAGTTTTTCCACTGCCCCCTAAATGTGCAGCTGTACCAGTGCCAGATTTAACAATGAACCAAATCCTGCAGGCAAAACGTCACTCACATTTCTGAAGTCCAGTGTTCATCTGCATGTAAGAAAGAAGCTGAAAGGAGAGGTCGCCTGGTCCTGGCAGACAGGCCAGCATGGCAGACAGGCACTAACACAACATGGGGCATTCACTCCTCCGCACACTGCAACAACAGAGAGACAAGGCAAGGTTATAAGGCAAGGATGTCGCGAAGACAGTCAAACAGCCCCTGGTAGGTTAAGGAGGGACCCACGCTTCACGGATGCAATGTAATTAGTAACGTGTTGATGAAAAAATCTCTGTATTTTCATCTCGAGCAATAGTTTGCTTTCAAACTGTTGCCATGGCTAAACTGACATTTTAAAATGGCACAGCTGTGCGCCAACTGAGAAATGAAAAACTGGAAAATTAATACCTGCCTCTGCCGACACTTGACAGTGTTCAGCCCCACTGGAAGGTCTCAAGCGCCTAACCTACAAAGTACTAATTTTGGCACCTCTACTTACAGGGTTTTTCTATAGCCAAAACCAATCTGGGTTTACTAGGAGGGGCCTCCTATTCCGGTTCTTCAGGACAGAACAAGTCAACATACTGTTCAAAAATACGATGCAAAATAATTGGGCCTTGAGTAATGGGGAAAGCAGCACAACTGCAGCCTAAGCAGCCCAGGCAATCATGTTACGTGACCTTTTGAGCAAATCAATTCTCCGTAGGTTATGGAACAGGTGAAGAAGCCGTAACCAGTTATGTGGCACGCAGCACACGACAGACAGGAGCCACACGCGTGTGCTGGGCCTGGTTTCGTGGATATAAAGCTCCCCTGCGCTGCAGGCAGCAGCTCCGTCTCAGGCTTGGTTGCAAGCAGAGGAAGCCAACTGCTAAGTGAGGAAGGGCGGCTGATTTACCCCTCAGAGGTTTCCAAGATCTGCCTACCAAGGTTATGTCTCTTGAAAGACAGTTATTTGCTCAAAACCAAATTATGAAAGAGCTTTTGTGACACACTTCACCTCTCCTTGGGACACCAAGGCGGCGGTTCTGCAAGCACCTCCTGCAGCCTTGCGAGCCGCCTCTACCTGGAGCACCCTTCCTAGCACCGTCCTGGCCAGCACCAGACCAGCCTCCGTGGGCTTCCTCCGGGGGAAGCACAACAGTGGAAAACACAACCTGATAGCCGGCCTGAGCTAGCGCTGGACGCCGGCTGACCATGAAGGAAACACCGAGGGAGACTAATGATGAACGGTCGACTGCCACCCAGACCCCACACCCAATACTTGCTGGCTGATTTCAAATGACTTTGAACTGAACCCCAATTTCACACACAAGGCAAAAAAAAAAAAAAAGGGCCCTTACAAACCCTGCACCTCACCCTGAGGTTGCACCATTAGAGAAACAGATGCAACTCTCTCATGTGTGGGGACATCCAACGCCGCCCGCCCGAGCCAGCTCCCGTGAAAGGCGAGCAGCGGACCGCGGGGGGCAGAAGCTTCGCTCGCATCCAACCAATTTTTCTAACGAATTCCCTTCAAGCAAGTCGGACCACCAGTGACAAATCTCCACCTCTCACCTGGGGCAGGTTGGGCCTAAACCCCCCAGCTGCACTCCAGGAAGGTTAGGAACTGCTATGGTCTAACAAAGCCAGCTGTTAGAGGTAAACCACCTCTTCCCTGACCCTGGAGGACAACGGGGATGGGAAAAGTATGGCGTTCCCTCCTCCCTTCCAGGGACCCTGGGCTACTCACCACCAGATACCAGACTGTTCGCCTGAAGCACTTGTGAGCCATCCTGGGAGACAAGTTTCCAATCTGAAAGTCTCCGACTCAAACAGCAAACTGCACCCCACGAGAGAGACCGCCACCAGCGATGGGAGAAGTTTTGCACTTACGCTCCCTATATTACAGCAATGATGATACAGCAAAATGATGTGCACATCCTCACCGCGCTCCAGGACTCACCGCCCAGGCTGTTTTGCCTCGAAGTGCTAGTTTTAACGCACGAAGCAATGGATTCCCCTGTCCCCACAGCCACACGTTCACAGTCATACGGCACAACCCAGAAGGATGGCTAGTAGCCCTAAACCTAGCCCTGCGGGTTAGTATCCTGAGAACAAGCGCAAATGCACCATGCTCGCTGCCCCGTCTCACGGCTCATTTTGCAACACAAAACAGCACAGTGTCCGACAAAGTCGCCCTATGAAAGCTCAGGTCTCTGAACGAGCTAGTCTACAAGGTGCCACCTGGCACTGCCTGCTACACAGAACAGGCTTAGAGGCAATGGTTGTATTTAACAGACAAAACAGCAGCAAAAACAGAGGGCCCCGATTCTGCACTAATAGACACGGTGACCTGCAAGCAAGCGTGTGGAGGGAAGAGAGGGACAGCTGGATTTCCAGGAGGGAAAGACAAACTTATAAGGAAAGCCAGCCAAGGCCCGGCCTGTCCAAGCAAGACGGTATGCTCCGTGCCTAGGCCCGCTCATTCACTGCCAGGGAAGATCCCTATTAAACCACAAAACAAGGAAAACAGCTTTGCAAAAAAAAAAAAATTGAAAAAAAGGAGGTCACGTAAGTGGGGAACACTGTTACAGCTAACATCTAGCTAATGCCTTTCACGCTCTTCTGCATCCTGACACAGAAGATAATCCAAAACTTGGCCTCTGCTTCACGGCTGGTTACTGCTGACAGCAAGACCTGCCACGTTCATCTGGGGTCCGTGGGCTGGGGGACAACGGCTGCCCTCTTCTCTAGGGCAAGAGGCACGGCTGCCAAACCCGAAGACCCGCAGACAGGGCAAACCGCAGGCTCTGGCCTGAAATGCCAGTGGGTCTCCACGAAAGCCGGGCGGCTGCACAGTACAGACGGGTCTTCAAGCCACCGCCACGTTACCAGCGTGGCCGTCCAGCAGACAAAGGATGGCGTGCTGGTATCAAGCCTTTCTAGATGTCCCGTTTCTTCCCCTTGCCAAGGCTGGCAGGACTGATATGAAGAGCCAAATCCTTTACATGACAAGCATGTGATCCCCATTTCCCTTCTGCAGCCAACTTACCCATTTTATAAAAGCCTGGCACTGCGAAAACCGTAAGCAGAGGACAGCTGTTTTATTGCACCGTATTTTTCGCACATTCCTGCCTGCATACGGAGGTGCTGCAGCTGCGACGTTTGAAGAACAACTGAAAGGGAGACAGGGCTCGGCGCACCCAAAAAGAGGAGGCATGGATGGTCTCAGAAAATACCTAGTGAAATCTGCTGTTTGGCGAATCCCAGACTTTTCAAGGCCTGGAAGAGGGAAGTCGGAGAACTAGAGACCAAGAAGCCAGAGCTGCAGACACCCCACAGAGATCGCTTGGAAAGAATCGGGCTGGCTAAATTACATCAGTCCTCCAACCTGGCAGGTCTGAGAGCCAATTACTCCCAATTTAGAAAAAGTTAACACCGCGCTGTGCGAAGCACAACTGCACGTGTGCTCCGACAGAGCCGGCCGGGACGCTCACAAAAGCGGTTTCTCAAACGATTCTGCTTCAAAACTTGGCCATTTCTTTTCAGAGAAAGGCGGCAGAGGGACAGAGCTGCCTTGTCAAAGACCCACCCCATTGCCAATGCGATGGAAAAAGAGTATCCGGACTGACAACCTCCTGTCCCACAACAATTGCTCAATTTGTACAACACGCTCACTTACACATGCGCGTGCAGCCAACCGACCAACGCCCATGCCCTGCAAAACCAAGCGCCAGAAACCCAGTATGCTTTCCTTGTGCAAATATCTTCATAGCAGAAATGCTTCCAGCCTCCCAGGTCCTGCGCCAAGGATCCTCAGTGCCAAGCTACAGCAAAGCAGGGCTCGCCATCATCTTGGATCCCGAACGCCGGCTGCGGGATCCCACACCGCTACGTATCACGGCAGACACCGGGCCCTTTGAACAGAAAAGCCATGCCCTGGCAACCCTGTGAGAAGTGTAAATACCCCAAACTCTCCGGGCAGAGCACACGGCAGACAACCATGGGGAACGCCAGGAGAACCACTAGCATTGGTGGCTGTGTGGTAGAGTTTCTACCTACCACTTGGGAGCTCTGAGTTCAAATCCCAGCTGGGGTGACTTGGGATGAAACAACTTCTCGGCAGCTGTGTTGAATCGCTACTGGATTCATGAAAACACAGGCTCGAGAGGGTTAAGACCTCGAAACCTGAACCCATCATTTTTCTCACTGCTTCTAATACACTGAATTCCCAAAGCCCTTTAAAAGGAGTTAAAAATGAGTGCTGACTCGCCACATTTAGGGCTTAAAAGAATTCCATGAAGACGAGAAAGTTGCTTGACCTCCACATTCGAGACGTACTCACGAGAGCAACCAAGACGCTGCACTCCCCAAGAACTTTCCAGGCATCCTCTGGGCAGTTTCCCACCCCAAATTATGCCCAAGCGAGGATGAAACGTGAAGCGAGAAACCCAGCTCATTTTAATCAAAAGGAGACAAAACCATTGCAAGTTGCCACCGCCCCGGGCGTTCCTGCCTTAGCTACTGCTGCACCTGAGTAAGCAATAAGAAATGCTCAGATTCAGCAGAAAAACATCCACGCTCTCTCCTCTTCCCTCATTCTTCTCATACTTTCACGAGGCAAAACCCAGGTCTGGGTCTCAGTGACAACACACACAGATGGGCGCGCTCGCCAAAGCGTGTTAACCGAGGCAGAAGATTTTAGTTGCGCTAACAACGATCAGATCCCTCTAAGCATCTGATTTTTCACCCCGCTACAGAATGCTGCCCATCCAGGAAATGGTACTTTACCCTTTTTTCAGCTTAAATAGCTCGTGACCCCAGAAAATTTGTGCAACCGACTGCCCCTGCCCATCGCACCCCTCCAAGCGAGAGCGGAGCCACGCGTAGCACAAACACAAGGCGCAGCTCTCGCAGGAAGATCTCCGGAGGGCTTACTTAGCTGCTTAGTCACTAAATATCCCTGTAGTCTGAGCATTGTGACTTATGAGCAAGCCTCTTGCTGAAGTGCCACGGAGAACATCAGTGCCTTTCACGCATGCAGCAATAAACCGCATAATGGCACATTACAATGTGAACAGGTGATTAAGAGCAGCCAAAGGCAGCATTAAATTCAGAGTGGTCAGATGACTGCCCTGGGAAAGCAGCCCTTCCCTGCTGGCCAAAGCACACGC